CCTCTTTAACATCTTTCTAGAAAGGATTATGACTGATGCCTTGAAAGATCATGCAGGTACTGTCAGTATTGGAGCCAAGCTAATCACCAACCTTTGCTTTGTAGACGACGTTGATGGCTTAGCAGGAGAAGAGCAAGAACTAGCCAGCTTAGTTGAATGCCTCTACAAAACAACTATAATTTACAGTATGGAGATCAGTGGCAAGAAAACTAAACTGATGACCAACAACACCAACGGCATTAGCATTGAGATCAATGTACATGGACAAAGACTTGAAACAGTAAAATGTTTCAAATACCTAGGATCAATTGTCACAGATGAGGGTTTCAAACCTGAGATACTTTCCAGGATTGTGCAGACAACAACAGTGCAGGCAATGTTGCAACCAATATGGAACAACAACAACATCACTTTTATTTCCAAAAGGAGGTTGTTTTGCTCCTTGTCATATTCATAGTTACTTTAATGCTAAGTTGGTTCCTCCCAATATATACAAAACAGAGATTGGTAATTAAGTTGATAAGAATGATGATGAAAGATGTAGGACAGTAAAATTTTAATTAGTCATGGTCGGTTTTAGGAACCTTATCAGAAATCAACATGCAAGCATGTAGTTTTCACTATTTCTTGGAGTGTGTTTTCATGCAAGAAGGCACTGAAAATTTTTTATGTTTCATATGCAGACATGAAATAAATATTTAGTAGGCCAATTTTTTTATCTTAAATAGATGGTTATTTCCTAAAGACTAACAAAATGGTCAGTGAAGATGATGTTAGGCTAAGGTAAGTGCAAAGAAAACATAGCACACAAACTGAAGAAATAGTCATGCTCTGTGGTATGATGTTATACAAGAAATCTATATCACTTGTTATAAAATTGATAATAATTACAATGCATTTGCTTTATCTGATTCACACCCTAATAGTTGTTGTAAATGAAAACTTGTAAAATGTATATATGTACAATGCCTAGACCTCTACTACATCAATCATACTCATCCATCCAATGAGTCCTGGTATTGGAGGAAAGGCCTTGCCAGCACTGGATATAGCAATTGTAGTGTATTTGGCATATTATACCACATTCTCCTTTGCTTTCACTCTTGAGTTCTTATGACATACTGTTCCATGCAATTTACAGCCTAATATGCAGATCCAAGAAACCCCTTATTCAATGCATTCAATGTAAATTATTCTATGTCCGTATCTGAAATGTATCCAGTTTATAATTATAGTGAATCTAGAAAGCTCATGACTAAATGAGTACTAGTTGTCTCTTCATTACAGATTAAAATATTCTACTTCCCAATGCAAAACATTATCAGTCCATTGTACTTGTAGTAGTAGTAGCTGGATAGAGAATTACTTAATGAATTAGTGTGAGGCAATCCAAAATTCTGTTCCTAACATACGACTTGATTCTTGAGTTTATACAGTCTGGAGTAAATCACTTAATCAGTACTAAATGGAAATGTATTCCTAGTTTGGTACTTAAAAATAAAAGTGAAAGATACAAATAATTAAAACAAAATATTAAACAGATTTAGATTTATAATACTTAATAGTAATACGTAATAGCAGTATTAATATGAACAAAGAAAATACCTAAAGACTGAGTGAGAGCACTTATATAACTTAGTACTCTACTAGTATTACTGAGTATTTGACGTAATTCCGAGACTGAAAATAATATTAAAAGAATGAACGATAGTAATATGAATATGATACACGTACGATTAGTGAACGTTTGATATTGCGTAATAGTAATTACTATTATTATTAGTATTACTGATTGTAATATGTAGTACCTAAGACAAGCTAGGAGTAGGATCTGACTTCATAATTTCCTTGCTAATACTAATAGTGAGTCAATAACGTTGCTCGAACAGTTACATCAATTACATTATGATATAATTCTTCAATGATTAACAGGAACACTACTATTAGTATTAGTAATACTATACTGTTCTCTACAAGTTACAACTTATATTTACAAGTTTTCGTAATAATTATATATATAAAAATTCAACTTACAGTATCTAGTTATTTCTAAGCATTTGCTGAAAAGTGTTTTTAAAAGATAAAAGCTATTGGACTACTTACATTTTCGAACAATACAACTAACGTCACTACCAAGAATAGACACTACGGGAAAAAAAAAGGAAGTAAAACCCAACCAGTAATTTGCCTTTTCATCGATCGATTTCAGCGCCTCAAACTACAATCTAGAAAACTCTAATATGGGCTGCTGTAACTATTTTAGTAGGCCCCCTGGTGGCTCAGCGGCATGTCTGGAGGCTTATAACGGTAAAAATCGAGTTTCAATACCCGTGATGGCCATACTTCATAATTCATTGTGTTTAACAACAAACAATCCAATTTATTTTAAGGTTGTGAATGTATAGACATTATCGGGTATAACTTGAAATATTTTGAAAGCAACTGCCTTTTATTTTATTATCCCATTTCTCCATTATTATTTAGTTTGGAAAATTATTAAAACGGGACTATGGTTCTGTGCAGTGCCTTTTTGTAATAACAAATATGGAGCTAAAAATTCAAGCTCTAATGATAAACATATATAACTGTAAAGATGTTATAATTCCACTATACAGTATAAGATCACTGGTTACTTTGTGGTGCACGAAGTTTACCACGTGTTTCTGTCCTTTTAATTGCCTTCCAGTAGCTCAGCGATAAGACCAAGATCTTAAAACACTAGAAATCGGGTTTGAATACCTTCAGTAAACAGAGCACAGATAATTCATTGTATAGCTTTATGTTTAACAACAACTAAGCATAACAAATCCCTTAACTGCTAGATGTTTTTGTTTGCTTGCTTGTTTTTTTCAAACATTCAGTGTACGTTGTGTTGGTTATACTTTAGAACATTGGTCAAGAGAGAGTAACAATGTTTCTTTCGCCTTTAGCCATTCACCGAGCTGGGCAAGTCACCAACGATATCACAGCAATAGCGCTCATTTCTCAATCATAAAAAAAGTGATGTCTGGGAACATAACGCCTTTTGTCGACTTGAAAATGGCCCTGATCACACGGGTAGTACAGGTGTAGAGAGAGAGCGTGTATGTGTTTGCATATGTGGTATATTCGGGTTGGACTGAATTAACTTTAGAACAACAGTATAGATCTACTTAAATGTGTGGTACATGAATTTAGCATCCATTTCTATTTTCTTACATTATTATAGCATTTATTCTGAATTTATTCTTTATTCTGTGTGTGCGTAGGTTTCACACAGTGCACAGTCGAGAAAACTGTTAAGTTGATTTCGTTTTAGCTGCCTTTGTTCCTTTCTTATTTTCGAGAAGGATATTACTGCAGTATTGCACATTAGTAAAAGATGTCGATGGCAGTGTCCTTCATAGACAATGAAGGTTATGAGCTCACCTATGTTTGAATGAGAATGATCATTCACGTGAGTAGGGCTAGTCGCTCTGGACAAATGTGACATTTCATGTGACGGAAGATAAGTGGGAGTTAGTCTTTGTAGTAGAAATATTTATAAAGCGATTAGCCTAAGATAAGTTATAGGTAATCCAGTGAAAGCAGCATTTATTTACACAACTCAATTATTCTGAGATTTAACATTATTTCAAAACAATGCCCCTCCCCACTGGCACAGTGGTATGTCTGCGGACTTACAACGCTAGAAAACGGGTGGTTTCGATACCCATGGTGGGCGGAGCAAAGATAGCCCATTATATAGCTTTGTGCTTAATTACAAACAAAATCAAAACAAAAATCTTGCTCAAATCTCTTGTTTTCCATGAGACCATCGCGTGTTCTTAAGTAAATTCAGCTTTACCTAGATATAAAGCAAAGTGGATAGGAAGAAAAAATGATGCCGTGATCAAAGATGTTGTATTGCAGAGTTTATTGTTTCTGCTTCTTGGTGATGGAATTCCACAAATAGAAAGAATTATGACCAAGAAGAAGAGTCAGTCACTAAATGGAAATTATTGTCCAAAATATTTGTCTGGTCTAGAAACTGAATATCGCACTTTTCAAAGACCCATGACTTCTGTCTTGACACTGCAACATTGTCTCAGGAAAAAGAGCCATTGATATCTAGTGAACCCAGAATGGCTGTCCATGCTCTTCCCTTGAGGATTGACTTCAGTGCAAGAGAAACGTGGATGACTGAGGATCATTATTGTGATGTTGCATCTGGCAAAGACATGACTGAGAGAGATTGAAAGTGCCTACTGGTGGATGGCATCTTCCAACAGTAGCCGTCTCACTAGTTGGTGAAATGGCAGGTACCGAATTACAAAGTGAATGAGCCACGGGGTAATGGTGAGCATCTATTATCCAATAAGTATAATGCCACACCAACCATGGATAACAAAGAAGCCATCAGTCGTGCAAAGCAGATGGATGAGCTGCCAAGTGCACCTTGTTGTTCTGCCATTCTATAGCAGGGGCCTAACACTAATCAGAGTTTTAAGGGTCCCTAAAATGGTATGCCTATGATATCTAAGACGTCACAGCACAGTCAAGTGACAGCCAGAAAGTTGAGAAGAAGAGGGTCTGGTCCCAATAACATTTTCACATGAGTGAGGTGAATCAGATCAATCTACTAATATTCAAAGGTACAGTGTAGAATGATTTCCACCATTTAGTAAAACATTCAGGCAAATAACTGTTTGGAATGGCTGGACTCTGGAACAGGCTATACAGTGCCTGGCTTTGTATTTAACTGGTCTAGTCCTAGACTCCATCAAAAAATTTAGTATCACACAACTGTGGGACTGTGAGACAGTAATTACTGAGTTGTACTTAACGAGTTAACCATGTGAAAAAATGGAACATCCATAGGGCTGAGTTCAAGTGTTGGACAATGTGTTCCATGGAAACCTTGACTACTTACAAGGATGAGCTGCGCCATTTACATGTCAATATGACCCTCAAAAGGCTTTAGTATGACCCAAGGATATCCTCATTGGCAAATTTGTGGAAGGAGTGTCTAGTAAAACAAAGATCCATCATCTAGGTGTGAAAGACTTTCTCATACATATTGAGGCAGTATCTCTCATGATGAGGTATGAAGTGGTAACTTTGAAATAATCACAATAAAGGAAGGATTATGTCACCTCAGACAGACCATACCACCGAGGCATCAACATTGTGCCAGAGCAGAGCCCAGCCAAGGTTCAATCAACCACCCAATCAACCACATTGCAATCACATTGGTAATCAGTGAATGATTAAAGCTATTATGGTTCTACCTTCGTTTATATACTCCAATCTATGCTGCTGAAGCTTCCCCAGAAGTTATTCTGGTAAGGAGTGAAGCATTTGTAACATATGGTAACTTTCGTGTGAACTATCCATACCTTGGTTCTGACTGATTGTGCAATAGATGCAGGAAGCCAACAGCAAATAGTTAATACAGCTACTACAGTTTTTGAAAACTATAGGAACCCAGGTCGGGCCTGGCTACCAACTCGAAAAAGTGCAATGCGCAATGAACAGCTTGCGCCAAAAAAGTGGTATCAGTCAGATTCTGTCAAAGTTGGTTAGCTCTCAGAATCTACTTTTGGAAACAAGGGTGAGAGATAGAATTCATGGCTCATACAGAAGCAGACAGAACACTGGTAAATGTTTTAATATATCAGACACTTCAAGAAAAACAATAACTCGAACCAGTTGACGTAATCTAAGATCTAGTTAATGGAGAGGTCATGGTCTTGATATGTCTAGGAGGCTTTGATTAGAGAAATAAGGTAGTTGTCACCATAATTCTTGAGACAGACATACTACAGATATTATCGATCAATTTTCCCTGTGCAATCAGTGCAATAGTTATCAAAAGTTGACCAGATCAGATACAAGTGTATGTAGGAGAGGAAATCACAATACATCCATACACAGATGTAGAATTAAGTGGTTACTACGGATGAATTCTTATGTTAGTGTGCTGTGTAAAACAGTTACAGAGCCCATGTATGAAATAGTCTGCTTCCTAACTAGAAGGAAGTAGTTTTAACTCAAATAGTTAACTGTTCAGGGGGAGTGAATTTCTGGTGTTGTTCTGTAATTATGGATGATCAGTTATCCAGTTGCACACTGGAATGGTCATTAGCTTGGTAAGCAACGTGGAAGTAACTAATAATAGTGGTAATGTAAGGATTGTGTCCATCACAACATCCCCAAAAGTGAATACACACTTGCCAACACCCCTGGGATCAATAGTTAAGAAACGTGTAGACAATTTAGCAACAGCAACTCCATGAGTTATTGGGGAATATGATAATGTATTTTTAGGAGTGTGTTGCAGATTAAGATGAACAATAGTAACACAAGATCATATAGATACAGATGACATATAAACAATTAATCAACCACCAAGCAGTTCTACCTGATGTATTATAGATGAAATACAACCTTCTGAGAGTGCTTGGTTGTCTCCAGGATGATTTTCAGGAAGAAGAAAAGTATGCACATGTTCTTGTTTTGATTTTAGATGGGTAAATAAGGTAATTTGCATTAATGCCTTGTAGTATGTCTTTGGACTTACAATGCTAAAAACCGGGTTTCAGAGCACAGATAGCCCATTATGTTGCTTGGTGCCTGATTACAAACAAACTTCAAACTTGGTACTATGAACATATTAATGTCTGGGTTCATTGGAAGGGGCCCGTTGGTTCAGTAATTTAGACCTGATATCGAGATACTGGTAAATCAACCAAGGTGAGAGTAGAACTAAGTCTACTTTCAGCACGAGATATGGCTTGTACAAGTTTTGCATCATGCTGTTCAGCTTGTGTTATGAGCCCACTACTTTGATAAGCTAATATGGCAGGTTTTTATGTATGGGAGTTTGTGACTTGTTGGCAATAAATTTCTACAAAAAAACAAACAGCACACAGTCCATTTGTTTTAAAATAATATAATAAAACAAGCAGGAACGT